CTGCCTAGTTCTGCATAGAACAGGAAGGGAGATGCTGCTAAAATGTATCCAGGATTTGAAACCTAGAAATAAGTTGTGGCAGAGCTCACACCTTTCCAATTAGCATGTTGTTTGGTGCATTTTATGATACAAAATTGAGGACCCTCTTCTTCCCTCTTGGGAACTAATTGGTTCCCCTCTTCAAATCTACTTTTCCATGCATGTTTGAGCTAACACCAAGACTCAGTAATGACTTTTCAAGTTTTTATTAGAAAAGCAGAAGGACTGGCACAACAGGGATTGCACACAAAAGAAGCAATATAATGAGAACAGGATACCTTTTGATACCAGTACATGGCAGAACAGGTACATTTCAGGAATATGACATTTTGGGTTTACATATTCTTCAGCCACTTGCCAACCGCTCTATAGCCGAAAGGCGGCTATTGATGTCCTCCCAGAACCCCGCACCCCTGTGCACCCAGGGGACACAGCTCTGAGGAAGAGGCTGAGTCCTTGAAACGCGTTAGCCTGTTGGAAGTCCAGGGTTCCATTTATGAACTTATAAGCAGTGTGGATTGGACACCACTGTTTGTGTGATGTGCCTTTGACCTGTATGACAATTGTGAGTATGATACTTACTTACTTATGATAAATATTTTTTACTATAATGCACTAGGGCGGTATGCCCTCTGTTTGTTTTTTTCTTTGTACACATCTAGACACAGCTGATCACAAATTGAGGTAAAGGGCCAATCACAGTGGCCTTTTACCATGTGATCAGCGGTGTCTAATCACAGCTGATCCTATGTAAATAAGTGCCAGTTATCCGCATTTCCTTTCCAAAACTCTGTCACTGTGTAAGGAAAGGAAAGCCAATAAACGGCACACCTGTGACAGCACACATTTAGACTGATAATCAGGGCACTGATCATCAGTGCCCTGATAATAAGTACAGTCCTGTCAGTACCCATCAGTGCCGCCAGTCAGTGCCCATCAGTGCAGCCTATCAGTATCCATCAGTGCAGCTGATCAATGCCCATTAGTGCAGACTCATCAGAGCACATTAGTGGAGAAAAAAAATTACTTTCCTCAGCACTGTCACTATGTGAGGAAAGGAAAGGAAAGCTGATAACCAGCAATCCTGTGACAGCACACATTTACACTGATAATCAGGGCACTGATCATCAGTTTCCTTGATAATCAGTGCTGGCCTGTCAGTGTCTGTCGGTGTCTATCAGTGCAGCATATCAGTGTCCATCAGTGCTGCCTTTCAGTGCCCATTAGAGCTGCCTTACCAGTGCAGCCTTATCAGTGCCTACTCACCAGTATCCATTAGTGAAGCCTATCAGTACCCATCAGTGCAGATGAGCAATGCCCATCAGTGCAGCCTCATCAGTGCACATCAGTGAAGAAGAAAAACTACTTATTTGCAAAAAATTTTTTCGTTTAGCAAAAAAATTAAAAAACCCCAGTGGTGATTAAATATCACCAAAAGAAAGCTCTATCTGTCTCACAAAAAGTATAAAAAATTTCACATGGGTACAGTGCTGCATGACTGTGTAATTGTTATTGAAAGTGCAACAGCACTGAAATCTGAAAATTGGCCTGGGCAGGAAGGAGTGAAAGTGTCCAGTGGGCAAGTGGTTAAACCCCACATCTCTGTAGTCCAGAAAGAAGGCTGGATGAAATGTTTGACACAGCAGTGCCTACGCATAGGGTTTAGTAAATATGTGTCACAAATTCCAAGAAAATAAATATGTGGAGATCTTCACAAAGTACATTTGCAAACTTCAATATCAATCAGATTAATAGAAGTAGAAATAATTAAATACTATATGGAAATGGATTTATGATTTTACTTTTTGACCATAGATATGCTTTAAGGTGAAGTAAGTATAGTGAGACCCAATAACATGCAGCAGGAAAGCAACTTATGACCACTTTAATACTTTTCAGATGTTTACTGAGTTCAGCAATGTGTTTCCTACCAAAAGTTGTTCCTGTGTATGTTAGATACAATTATGTTTTGCTGAATTCCTCTTTAGGTTAGATAAATTGACACAAGGAAGAAATATATATATTTCAAATAAGTTTCAGTCAATAGACAGCGAATAACAGTCCCACATAATCAAATCAAATGTCAGACTTTGACAGTGTCATAGACAGTGTTATGAAAATGTAATATGACATTGGCTATTGTAGCATATTTTTCCAGTATTATTGGAAATTCAGGATTAAGGGTTCCAGTTAAACTGCTGGGAGAAACATGAGTTGTTTTTTGTTTTGACAAAGGACATTTTAGAGTAGCTGTCAGGTCACATCAACATTCTCCAACACGGACACAATGGGAGCGATAAACTGCCCAGAAGCTTAATAGAAGATTTATTGTGAAAAGTTCCAGGTTGTTTAAAACTGTTTGAATGTGATATATAGATGTCAGTTTCTGTTACTCCTCAGTTTGCTCTTCAAACCATTATTTTTTGTTTCTGATGTCCCAAAGAGAGGATGAAGTAACTAATATGAACATGGAAACTGATCAATATGGCTCCAGAGAATAGATTTCCAGGTACATAACTAAAGACAAAACATAAACAAACTTAGAAAATATATTCCAACAGCTGTTTGTCTGATTCCCATTTCAATCTGTTAGGTGTGTTCTGACATTATTTACTACTTCAATACCAGGCACTTTTACCCCCTTCCTGCCCAGGCAAATTTTCAGCTTTCAGTGTTATCGCACTTTGAATGACAATTGTGCGGTCATGCAACACTGTACCCATAAAAAATGTGTCTTTTTTTTTTTTCCACACAAATAGAGCTTTCTTTTGGTGGTATTTAATCACCGCTGAGTTTTTATTTTTTGCTAAATAAACAAAAAAAATCAGAAACTTTTGAAAAAAACATGGTTTTCTTTCTTTTGTGTTATAACATTTTGCAAATAAATAAAATTTCTTCATAAATGTAGGTCAAAATGTATTATGCTACATTTCTTTGGTGAAAATACCCCAAATTAGTGTATATTATTTAGTCTGTAGGAAAGTTATAAAGTCCACAAACCATGGTATATATATCTGATATTCGATCAGTCCAGATGCACTGATGGCCTATCTCATTTCTTGTGCCCGAAAACACTAGGTAGTAATATAAATACCCCCCAAATTGCCCATTTTTGGAAAATAGACAATGCAAGGTATTCAGTAAGAGGCATGTTGAGTTTTTTGGAGGCTGTAATTTTTTGTTACAATTTTTGGGAAAATGTAGAAATTTAAAAAAATCACATTTTTTTTTTTACATATTGTCACCAGTCCAGTACAGCGTTATTATATAACTGGTGTGATGGTGATCAGGGACACTGACTGGTGACATCATGTAGAAAAAAAATAAAAATAATAATAATTGAATTTTTTTTTTTTTATTTTCAATTTTTTAATTTTTATCACATTATTTCTTCTTTTTTTTTTACAATTTTTTTCAACACACAGTGACCAAAGCAATACAATGTTACCATAGTAACATTACACTACTCTGGGCAAGTGATCAGGATTTTTTGTTTTTGGTTTTTTTTTTTACACATTATGATTGCTAATACCAATGCTTTTCATTGATATTTGTAATCATTGTTACTGAATGAAACCAATTCATTCAGACTTTTGTTGGGATTAGCTGTGATTGAGCAAAGCTCATCACATGATACAGATGGGCTGTGATTGGTCCTCTCTCTACCATGTGACTGTTTTGACCAATCACAGGTAACAGCACAATTGTATACAATGGATGGCATGACAGGAAGCCATCAATTGTATACAATTGACATGTGATCTGCTGTGATTGGTCATAGCGGTCACATAACACTGGCAATGGGCCGGTGTAGTGATATGTCATCGGCTGTGTCCCGTGGACACAGCTGGTGACAGATTGCGCTGCTGCGTGGCCCCGTGGATGTGTGAGTGGCTCCTTCTGATAGGACATCATATGACGCCCAGTCAGAAGGAGGAGTGTCCCGCCCGGTCTATAGCAGATTGACAGCTGGGCTATAGTCCGGGCAGGAAGGTGTTAAAGCAAATTGTGTACTTTGCTCGCACTTAGGTTTCCTGGTCCTCATTGCTGTTGCAACCTACTGCTAGATTGTTCCTAAAATTCTTTTTTGAAAGTCATCACTTACACAAAGAAAATCAAGCCCTCCTTCCCCCCCCATGTGACAGTGTTTAGGCCTGAAAATTGGAACTTAAGGCTGTTGCTTCTAATTGGGACAAAACATATGGTCCTGTTAGTATGAGAGTCTTTTTTTTCTTGTATCCTTAACATGCATTAGTATAAATAAAGAAGAAATTAAAGATATCAGTTAAAAACATCCAGCATATGTCTGTCCCCAACTGGTTGACTATGGCTGTTGGAGACACAGGCCATGCTATTACTAGCCCCTATGGCCTTCAGTATGGGGTTGGTGCATTAACCACTTGCCTACCGGGCACTTATACCTTACCAGGCCAATTTTCAGCTTTCAGCGCTGCCGCAATTTGATTGACAATTGCTGGGGTCATGCAACATTGTAATCATTTTTTTCTCACAAATAGAGCTTTCTTTTGGTGGTATTTAATCGCCACTGGGCGCTTTACTTTTTGCACTATAAATTAAAAAAAGTGCAAAAAATTTTCCTAAAAAGTTTATTTTTTCTTTTATAAAATTTTTCAAACAGGTATTTTTTCTCCTTCACAATTTGCGTTGATGAGGCGGCACCACTGATAGGCGGCACTTATGGGCAATAGGCAGCACTAAAGGGCACTGATAGGCAGTACTAATGAGGTGGCTCCAGGCCACTGATAGACAGCACTAATTAGGGGTCACGGATAGGCGGCACTGATATGCAGCACTGATAGGCGGCACTGATAGGTGACACTGATGATGGGTACTGATAGACGGCACTGACTGGCATCACTTCTGGGCACTGACTGGCGGCACTGACTGGCACAACCCCTGGGCACTGACTGGTGGCACTGACTGGCAGCACTGGTGGGTGGCACTGGTGGACAGCACTGGTGGGTGGGCACAGGTGGGTGGCACTGGTGGGCACAGGTGGGTGGGCACAGGTGGGTGGCACTGCTGGGCACATGTAACCCCTGGCATTCTGGGCACAGGTAGGTGGCCTGCAGAGTGGCACAACTGCTGGGCACAGGTGGGGGCACTGCTGGGCACAGGTGGGGGCACTGCTGGGAAAGATATCAACTTGCGGGGGTCACTGCTGGGCAATCAAGGGCACTGATCATCAGTGCCCTGATGATCGGTGCCGATCCCCGCTCTGACAACTGCCGGTTCTCGGCAGTAAACCTCACGATCTGACAGCGTGAGGAAAGTGCAGCCGAGAACCGGCACTTGCATTTTCCTGTGATCAGCGTGACACCGCTGATCACGTGGTAAAAGGCCGGTGGGATCGGCCTTTCACCACCACATCACTGATCAGCTGTGTCCGTAGGAGATCGCCGGGTGCGCGCCCCTTGGGGCGCGCAAGGACGTCATATGACGTCCCTCAGAACTGGCCGGCCGCGGTGAAGCCGTATGCGGGTCGCAAAAAGCAGAACTACACTGCATCTCAGCACCACAAACCAAAAGCACTATTTAATTGATTTTTAATATTCAGTGCCAACCCCCCCCCCCCCCCAAATATCCATGTCTCCATGCCACTTTGAAAAAACAGTCCCTCAGTCCCTGAGTAAGGGCAAAAGATTAGTGTAGCATTTACTTTGTGGAATCCATCCATCAGGGTATGCTTAACCAAGAAAACCCCTCCTATCTTCCTGAAGACTCCTGGGATGTATGACATGAATTGCCTATGGAAACCAGTAAGTAACTGGTGAAATGTAAAATAAAGTTTAAAACAAAGTAAATATGATATGCTTCCCTATCTATTTACAAATACTAGCAGCATAACGATTCAAAATAGTTACTGTTGATTGAAAGAGTGGGGTTCCACTTTAAGGGGTGTGGGGTTCAGAAATCCTTTGTAGCTCAGCAAGTATGCCAGTCAAGCCCCTCCATATCACCTTAACTTTGGTGAATGGACAATGAGAGAGATTTAATCTCACAGCTATAGGCAAGCATTTAACTAAATGAAATCCATTCAGTATTTTTTGTTGTTATTAGCTGTGACTGGCTAATCACATGAAACAGATGGGCTGTGATTGGCCCAGTCTGTACCATGTGACCACTGTGACCAATCACAGCTAGCAACACAAATGTATACAATGGATGGCATGAAAGGAAGCTGTCCATGGTTTATAATTGTCATGTGACCTGCTATAAGTGGTCAGAGCAGTCACATGGTACTGGTAATGGGCCAGTACATAGATCAGACATTGGCTGTACACAACCAGTGACAGATCTCACCGAAGCACAGCCCCATGGGCACATGTGAGGCGTTGATCCTGAAGGACGTCATATGATGCCCACCCAGATTTTTCAAAATGCCACTCGGCCTTCATTTTGCTATTGGCCAGGCAGGAACTGGTTAATCTTTAACAGTCTTAGCAATTGATGCTATAAGAAGGAACAGACTTTATTGGAGAGATATGTCTGCAACATGTAGTTTAGTGTGCTTTTGTCTGTTATGTAGTAGTTCAGCCGGTGATGCTTGTGTAGTCACATTTATAGTTGCTTTGTAAACATGTAATAACTCTGTAGTAAACATTTTCCCTGTAAGAATGCAGTTTGAAGAATTCCCTTAAAGTTTTTGTTGAATCTCTCAGTTTTTACATTTGCTTGGGGATATAATAACCTGAGGATTTCCTATGCACAATATTTATCTCTGTCTGGAAGGGCTCAAACTCAGAAGAAACAATTGTGGTCTATTTTCAGATGCTAGTTCCTTTGGGTTATCTTTCCAGCTGAAGACTGTGGAGAAAAATGTAATAACTGTAGCAGATGGTATATTTGAGACAAATGCAATTTTTGGACAGTTACTGTAATAATGCATTAATGCTATAGCAAATTGGCAGTCCACAGGTGCAGCACCAACAATATTAATACCAAGTGTCTTCCAAGCAGGATCAGGAAAAATGCACTGACTTGATTGGTGGAATGTGCTTGACAGCAGATTTGTCATGTATCTGACAAGTAATACAAAGTTGAATGACGGTACTTTGGCATCCATGCCTGGCCATCAGTATAGTTCACATAGTCTTTGCTTTGAGCAGCATTTAGAAGGATTTAGTTTAAATCCTGCAGCTGCAATGTACTTTAGAACACTTATAAGGTACTTGTCACAAAGATCCAGAGCTGGGCTGTATACAATTATGTCATCTAGATAGCACTTTACATCAGGTTCATTACTGTGGATTGAAAACATCAGTCTTGAAAATAAGAGGTCACTAAGCCTATCCATAAAGTTCACACTTGAAATGAAATTGGCCCCTTAAAGTTAATAAATGTCCTTATCCAGCAAAACCTGATGATATGCACATTTGATGATCTAGGAGAGAAACAAAATTAGCTCTTCTGAGTTCTGAAAATATATCCTCAATTAGTGGCAAGGGTGACTATCTATGTCAACAGCGTTAGTTGGTTTGTAATGGTCAACATCACATCCTATTCCATGGTATCCTACATTTTAGGGAACTTGGGATGGTTTCACATTTGATTGCTTGAGAACCACCCTATAGCAGTTTTACTGCTACAGGATGGTCACTCTGTGCAGACTCACACACACACACACACATATATACAGCCAGTGATTCTTGGCCGAGACCCAGCAAACGGAGTAGTAATTACCGGAGAGAAAGACCTGTGAATGTAAATAACACAGATCTCTCTCCTGTGAGTGTGTATATGCCGGTTTTTATTTCCCTCACTTCTATCCACGGTGATGTCCCCCCCCCAGCACACAAATAGGTGATAGACAGCCTCAGATGTGCATGTTTCCTAGCAAGGTTGTGCAGAGTGGAGTGTGTCCATCCTCTCTACTCAGATGTCAGATTACACTCAGCTCCCTGTTCTGCGCTATGCAATGTGGAAGATGGAAGAATAATATCTGATCTGTGTGCTTTGGAAGGCTGTGGAACAAAAAAGGCTTTCGATAAGAAGGTACCACTTTTGTGAAAGGAATGGCTTAATCACTGTGTATCACCTATGGCTGGTCACTTCGGAGGACTTATGTAAGGGATTTTATTCAGTTTAAAGCTGATGTAAATTGCACAGTATTTACCAATACTGTATGCTGAAATTTTTATTGTTCTGCAATCATGTTTACATTAAGCACAATAATGCAATGCGAGCTGTATCATAACTGTTGCTGGTAGAATATAGAAAATACATGTTCTGCTTCCAGACAGCGACAAAGTTAATTATGCATTCAAGCTGTAGGTACTGTAAGTCCTCCTGCTTAGCAGCAAGTATGTAATTCTCAAACATAAATCCAAGCTACATTGCAGGCTCACTAGAAGATAATGTGAGGAAGCAGAAGATGTAGAAAATATATCCTTGTTGCCAGTCTTGGGCTACATGTACACTAGCCTACCCTGACTGCAGCTGCAGGAAGACACAGAGCACAGCAAAAATGTGTGTCAACGCAGTACAGCATTTACACTTGTTTTTGCCACGTTTTGTGTTTTCCCACTGCAGGCAGTCAAAATGTTCTTATCCTAAATGCAATTCCTCAGGAGAGGCAGGTTTAACCCTACCTAAATTCTAAACTCTGCAAAACAATGATGTGTACATGGACACATAGGGTTTTATGGAGTTAAATTTAGGAGATTTGGTAAAATAAGCGTATTACTGTATGTCCTGTAGTGTGGGAGTACTTCACCTTTCCCTGTGACCCTCTGGGAAACTCACTTGGGTTCTATCAAGACACCCACTGCCTTTTTATGGGCTCACTTCCAAAAGTGTAATAAAGCCTTAGATTTGTTAATCACATTTACAATATTAACCATTTGCTCTCCACAAGATTTACTCCCTTTCCTGAGCAGGCCATTTTTTGCGATACGGTGCTACGTTACTTTAACTGACAAATGTGCGGTTATGCAACACTGCGCATAAATTAAATTTATGTAATTTTTTTCCCCACAAATAGAGATCTCTTTTGGTGGTATTTTATCACTTCTGTGTATTTTATTTTTTGCACTATAAACAAAAAAGCCTGACAATTTTGAAAAAAAAAACAATATTTTTTACTTTTTCTATAAAACATATTCAATAAAAAAATTAAAAAAATAAAATGTCATAATAAATTTAGGCCAAATGTATTCTGCTACATGTCTTTGCCAAAAGACATTTGGTGGTATATATACTGGAATTTGTATTTGTTTATATTTTATACTAGTAATGGCAGCGATCAGCGACTTATAGTGAGACTGACTGCGGGACTGCGGCGGGCATTCTAATACTGGGCGGGACCTGAATAACTGCCATTGACATCTCCAGTGACTCTAATACAGTGATCAGAGTCAGGGGCGGACTGACAACTCATGGGGCCCCCGGGCAATAGGGGATCATGGGGCCCATGTGTCCTTGCCCAAACTCAAAAAAGCCTATGAAAAAGTTACCGGGGGCATCTCATGGGGCCCCCTACTGACCCCGGGCCCTCGGGCAGTGCCCGAGTTTCCAAATGGTCAGTCCGCCCCTGATCAGAGCTAATAAAAAGCACTGACACTGTATTCATGACCCTGGGCAGGAAGGGGTTAACATCTAGGGCGATCAAAGGGTTAACTGTGTGTTGGGGAGTGATTTTATTGTGTACTGTGTGCTGTTTTGCTGAGCAGACCTGCTGTTTTCTATCTCTCTGCTGTGCAGAGAGATAGAAAGCAGCACGTCCATGCTGACAGGAGAGAGATCTCTGTCGTTTCAACACAGATCTCTCCCCTCTCAGTTTTGCTCATGATCACCGAGTCCTGGATGAAAATCGCTAGCCGCAACCCGGTGATTGACATCCTCAGGAGCCAATAGTAGCATGGGTAGGACGCCCTACTCAGAAATTAAAAATCATGTATATTTACGTGATTTTGCCAAGCAAAGCCTCTGTGTAGCATTACATCTCCTATGGGGCAGCGGGAAGTGGTCAAAAGTTCAGATACGCATAAAACATATGCCACCGCATGAGTGTATAATATCAGCAAAAAGAATTGGAATTAACTTGTACTGTAGAGAAAATATTTTACATGTAACAACTGCAGCAAGTGACATCTACAGGCCAAGATTATGAATACTACAATGTTTAATGCATTTCTGAACATTTCTTGGACTGAAAACATGAACCATTCATTACAGGCATTGATCGTAACCTAACAAAATGGAGGCTATTGGTGATTATTATCCTGGCTATTGTTCTCCTTCATCTGCATGTTCAAGCCATTTAAACAAACTTTCTGTAGATCTGTTGTCAACTTTGT